TCCTCTGATGCTTCCCAACAGTTTAGATTGTAGTGTTCTACTTTAATGCATTTTTCTTTTTGCCAAGGAATGCCAGAAAGAGGGCGCTATTTTGGGAATGCGTTGGCTGATCCTCTGCCACAGAGAATTTTCCAGTAGCTTCTTCCCTTTTTAACCAGAGATAAATGGGCTAAAGCAGCCAGAAGGATCTTACTTGTGAGCTGGAGTTCCCATACAAGTGCATGAGTGTGCATACACACACAAACAGCATCGCTTCATTACGATAGTGAAAAACATTGCCTGCGACTTGCATGGTTCACATCCCAAGAGGGAGACAAAAGCAGTGAACTCTACATGGTTCTTCCTTCTGTTTTAGCTTCCTTTTTCGCCTCGGTATAAATATTTTGTGTTGGTCTTCCTTCTCCCCTGTATGTGTATGTATGCATATATACATATCTGTACACAGTACCACTGGGTACTTTTTATATATCCAGAGTTGTTTACCCCCCCCCAAAAAAACCAAAAAATTTAGTCATGAGCAGATTGTATATATTACTGGCAGAGTTCGTGATGGACCTTCCAGTAATATTTTTATGCATCAACATGGCAAATTTAACAGTTGTTATCATGTAATTGCTGAAAATAGTACTTTTTATGCAAATGTCTGAAATTTTATGGGGATAGGGAATAGCCTTTTTGTGTTATCTGAGGTGAGAATAGTACTTTGTACCTCTGTAGTGTTTCCTTTCGAGAGGTTTTTGTACTGCTCCACAGCCATTGTCCATGCACCATATTTCAGCGTGAAGTGTATTCTACACTGGTAGTCTTAAGCGTGGAAAGATTTTGGTGTGACCAAAGGTGTGAAAGGCTTTTTTAACACCAGCGTACTTTCAGCACTGCGAATCAATAAGAAACAGGAGAGTTAGGCTTGAGTTTGTGATTAGAAGTGACAAGTTACTTGCAAACAGCCAGAGAGAATTCTGTTACTTACAGAATACTTACTGTGAAATTCTCATCAAGTATGTTGGGCAGGGAGAGAACAGGAAACTGTTCAAAAGCTCTATCTAAAAGACACGCAATTTTGATATTCAATAGGCCATCTCATTCTGGCCAGTCTTTAATATCCTTTAACTTTGAAGCACGTTCAATTTCATCTTACTGTTTTAATTTTTGCAGACTTCCAACAGGACCTTTGATATTCCTCTTACTTTATCTGGAGCAGTAGTTCTACGGGAGAGACTAAATTATGAGGAAAAGACTCGTTACTTTGTGATTGTTCAAGCAAATGTAAGTATAAATCTCATAATAGCCATTTATAGTTCTAATTCAGGTGGCCCTTAAGTTCCTGGGTATGGATTTTTTCCTAGTAGAGGAAAAGCATCTCTAAACTACCAGATCTGATGCACTCTTTTTCTGTAGACCCTATTTAAGATGTATCTAGGTGCTTTCTGTCATTAAAAGATTAGACATATTACTGCTGGTTAAAAAGGCTTGCTCAAGATGCATAGAAAAAAGCAACATTCTGGTGCAGGGAACAAGTTGCATATTTGAAGTACAGTTCATGCTGAAAAGTGCATTCTAGTGTCACTAAGTGTTCATCTTCTAACACATCTAGCAATGCTAATTTGATGTCAAATGAGTTTAATGGATACAATTTGGTTGTATCTTTCATGTTTGAAAAGCAGTTTTCTTTGAAGAGGTGATTTTTCTTTGAAGTCATATTACATGGTTATACGGAGGTTTTTACACAGCGGCTAGCAGTAGATAATGCATTCCCGGGAGAAGAGTGACATGTAAACTGTATCTAATACATCTGTCATCGCAGAATTTTTTTGTGCCTTTGAGGGCTGTGAAGGCCTTTCTTGTTTTGTTTTTTGTTCAGATAATGGCTGAAATGAAAACTTTGGTTCTGTTGTTTACCACTGTTGTGGTACTGTTTTATTTATGGGGAAAAGGAGGATCCCCTGAAGCAATTTTAAGATAGTTTTAAAGTAATGTAAACTTGCTTTCCTATATATTTTGTGGTATGTTCAGCATTCCCCTAGTAGAAGATGGATTTAAAGGGTGTGCCTTTGTGCTCTTCGCTATGCTCTTGAATGTTCAGAAAATTGAAGGCTGTAGCTCTGAGGTTGAAGTTTTCATAATTATGTATTGTGTAGAATCTGCACATTTGGGAAGGTTATACGCCTTGCCCTTACCTTTAACTTTAAATCCTTCTGTAGATTCTGACTTCTGAACATCTCACAAAATCTTGCCCATTTGCTCCCCAGGACCGAGCCCAGAATCTTCATGAGCGAAGGACGAGTACAACCACCCTCACAGTGGATGTGCTGGACGGGGATGACCTGGGACCAATGTTTCTTCCTTGTGTCTTGGTAAATAATACTCGTGACTGCAGACCTCTCACCTACCAAGCAAGCTTGCCAGAACTGACTGATCCTGTAAGTCCTCTTGATTTTTGTAAGTTTTGTGTGTTTGTTTTGTAACTGGTTGTCGTCTTTCTCTGTGAACACAATGGAGAACTGTAACTAGAAGGAGTGTGCATGCTTAGTGTCAGGTTCCATGTGCTAAACAGATTAAAATTGAAGTAAAATACTTGTATGAATAGATGAAATTCCAACTTTGATACAGTGGTATATTGCTTGCTACAGACTCTGAGTCTTGCTGAAGTTTGGTGAAATTGTGTAATTGCATTCTTAGCTCTGTCTTCATCGTAATCTTGAAATATTCTGAAAAACCACTTGGAGTAGGTTATTTGACTTGTACCTCTTTTCCGGATTATTAGAGACTTCACGGGGAAGATTTTTAGGGAAGGAGGCCTTAGTTGTTTGTCCCTGGCAAGTTTCTTTGCCATTGTATCTGTTTTTAGTCAAGAGGCACTAAAGAGCAGCTAGTGCTTATCCCATGTAGCTGCTTATACTGCATACACTGGTTAATATATCAGTTAGGATTAGTATAAAATTCAGTCATTTCACCCTTGGATATGCACAGTGGATCACAAAAAGAAGAGATGAGAGCTCTACAAAATCCTGATGCAAGATGATGCTAATTCTTCTTCCCTACAGGGGAAGAAGGCTGCTTGGTAGGCTGGAAGTGTGCATCTTTGGAGTAGGAGAAATGCTCTGCATTTGGCTAATTTGATTTATGTAAGTTTCTTAAGCAATGCTGGTAAATGTCCTTTGGTTCATACATTTAAAAAAAAAAGAAAAAAAAAGCAGAACCAGTTAAATCATTGGGCTTATCCCCTACCCGATCAACCTCTGACATTAGGTTAACTTTGACTATTGACAACGAGATCATGATTTCCCTTTTTCATCTCAGGACACTATCTCTGGCCTGCATTCTCTGACCAAGAGATGGGGAGGATGAGGCTGAAAGTGTGGAGGTTCTTGCTATTTTCTGCCTTATTTGCTTTGCTGTCTTGTTCCATGTAGACTTTGGCCATCCCACAAATTTAGTGTCAGCTCTGTCTGGGCTTGGGCCCTGGAGCAGGGCAGCTGCCCTGCTTGTTTGACACAGGATGACATCCTTAGCAAGTCTCAAAATCTCTCACATCCAATCTAGATCCAGCTGAAAATGTCACCAATATATGCAGGAGTTCATCAGTTCCTTCTATAGAGACCAACAGTACAGGCTCTGGTTAAATAACCAGTACAATCTCTGGGAGATGAGAGGAAGCTTTATAGCAGTCATGATGTTCAGTTATTGTGCTTTTTGTATAAGAAGGGTCTGGGACAAGTTTCAGGGAATTTATGTAAGTCAGACTGGTCCTGATGTCAAACTGGAGGGAGATTGGATCTTACAAGCCTTATGCACCTCAAATAGAGATCATTTCTCTGAGCTGAGAAACTCTTCCTCACAACTGCATCCTTATTTTTAAGTTACAGCAAGACCGGAGCCTTGACGCTCAGCTTGTAATAGCAGAAAATCAGGAGGGAAGGAAAGGGATATCCCATATTTAATCTTATTAGTCTGATTTATGCTACTCTTTTTTCACTTCTACACCATGGTGTTTCTAATTGCAGTGGCTGAATTTGACTTTGTGAATACATGCATTAGATGAATGTGACTTGCATGTAACATCATTTGAAGGAAACTGCGTGTTATTCCTCAGCTCAGTACGTGGCCTCATCAGGGTTAGTGGGGTACCCAAGCTAAGCAGAGAATGAGAGATTGTGACCCCACTTTATCCACGCAGATCAAGTGGCATTCACAGTACAGAGGCAGGTAAGGCAGTAATTAAGAAAGATCAGTGCTTGGTTGTTACATTTATTTATTTGTTTTTAATCTAGCTACCAAAAGGCAGGACAGAGGTCATCTACTTGTCCTGAGGCAGCTCTCACAGATGGAAGGAACTCAGCTCTGTCTTCATTCTTGCCCTTGCTGTGGACAGGCATGTGCTGGGCGCTACAAGGCAAAGTGATGTCTGCCAGGAAGGCCTGCAGAAATCTGGCTAGTGATTACTTCTGAGTTGCAAAATACATTCGTTTGACTTCCAAAGCTGTTCAAGTGCCAGCTTTTTCTGTTTTCTTTTTGGCTGTTTTGTGTCAAATTGCACCTTGAGAGGTCTGATCTGTGACACGAGAAACTGGTTCTCTTGATAAAAATAGCTGCTATTTGCTGTTTATCTTTTTGCAGTGATGCAGCTGTTTTGATAAACATAAGTGGAAGAAGGATGTGTCTACCACAACTTTTACCTTGGTACTTGAAATATTTATCTGGCTTGTAAATTATAATACAGTTAGACAATAGGACAATTTTATATTTATAAAATAATAATTAAGAAAAATCCCTCAATTAATAAAACACACATTTGTCCTGCAAACAGCAGTATGGTAGAGGTGCAGAGAGTCCTCTGGCAGTGAAGTAATGGGATCCTCAGATCTGATGAAGCAGCCTGGGCAGAGAAACTCAGTCAGAAGTATTTTGGAGATGGCTGCATGAAATAAAGAACTTTGCATTACACCACATAGGCAAGAATCCATAATGATGCAGGACCCTATCCCCAGTGTCAGGTTGTGTAGAAGCTGATGGTGGCCATTGTACTCCCCAGAATGCTTGATGTCAATCTACTTGCACTAATTAGTTTTTATTTCCTTTTTGAAAATCAAAATTTACTACTCTCTAAGATTCGAACCTTTCAGCAAGAGTAGCAAATAGAACAGAATATACTGTCCCTAATGGTATTTCCCTAATGTCTTTCCCTAATGGTAACTACTACGTAGGCTAAAGGAGAATTATTAGACCAGCATCATCATTTACTTTTTAAGTACTTTTTGTATTTTTTACAGCAAACATGACGAGGAATATTAATGAATCTTTAACAAGGAATGTCAAGGAGTATTCAAAGTAGTAGTCCTGTTTTACATTGTGTCTATTCGACTGACCCCTAAAAGGGAGCATTTATAAGTAAAACATTAAATGTAACTGGAAATAAAAGGTTCTCGGTTTTTTTGGTCTTACAAGATTAGTTGTCTTTAATTGGCCTTTACCAATTTGCTGAGTTTGCTGAGGTAAATAGAGTGTTTTCTTTCCAAGCTTGTTTCCTTTAGAAATTCCAAAGCAGTTTGATGCATTAGCAATGAAGCATCCATACAGCTTGGGCTTTGTTTATGGTTTTTGCAGGTGAAATGAAAGAGACCAGCAAAGTTAATGGATCTCTTCATTACCAGAGAAACAATTTTTCCTCAAAAACAGTACCAGCACTTACATTATGCCTTCTGAGAGTTGATCTGATGTCTGCCTTGTGGCAGTATTAATAATTCTATTAAATCTGCTCCAGGCTGTGTGGAGTGCTGTATGATTAGTGTTTATACACTTGTAATTAAAAACAAAAAAAAAAAGAAAAATATTTTGCATTTCTGCTATTTGCACAGATGGTGCAAATTGTCCCAAAGCTGCACATCTTCCAGGCAGAGCCAGAGGTTATCTGATGGTCCCATCTGGTGGGCATATAGAATAACATGTGATAATAGTATTTGTAAGTCAGCACGTTGACTGAGCATGGCCAGAAGGTAGGACTTCATCAATGGCTGCCTCACTTTGTGACTCTCCCTTCTGCAGCTCATCACCAGTGATCCACTGTAATTAAGTGCCATCACAGTCTCATTAGGGCTATTACAGAATTGTAGCAATTGGAAGGGACCTCTGGAGATCACCTAGTCCAGCCCCTGCTGAAGCAGGTTCCCTACAGCAGGCTGTACAGGAGAGCATCCAGGTGAGTCTTCTGTATCTCCATAGGAGTAAACTTCATGACCTCTCTGGGCAGCTGTTCCTGTCTGTTATCACCTTCACAGTAAAGACGATTCTCCTCACGTTCAGATGGAAGTTCCAGTGCCTGTTCCTTCTTGTCCTGTTGCTGGACGCCAGAAAAGATCCTGGCCTTATCTGCTTTACTCTCACTCATTAGATATTTATAAGCATTTATAAAATTCCCTCTATCTTCTCCTCTCCAGTCTGAACAGCCTCGGGTCTCTCAGCCTTTTCACATCTGGGAGATGCTCCAGGCCCTGGCTGTTTTTGTGGCCCCCTGCTGGACTGTCTCTAGAACATCCCTTGAACTGAGCAGCCCAGGACTGGACACAGTGCTCCAGATGCGGCCTCACCAGGGCAGAGCAGAGGGGAGGATCACCTCCCTTGACCTGTCGGCCATGTTCTTAAAGCACCCCAGGATACCACTGGCCTTCTTGGCCACGAGGGCACGCTGCTGGTTCATGGCCTACCTGTTGTCCCCCGTGACACCCAGGTCCTTCTGTGCAGAGAGCTTCTCCAACAGTTTATCCTCTAATCTGTACAGATGGACGTGGTTGTTCCTCCCTAGATGCAAGAGTTGCCCTTCTTAAATCTTCTAAGGTTCATCTCTGTTCAGTTCTCTCTATGATTACGGCTAAGATAACATAAGCACCAGTTACTGTTGTGAAATGGTTGTATTGTTAAAACTTCTTAGAGTAGGCAGAATCTCTTCCTCCGGAGTAAACAAACTTTTCACCTATGGAGAGCACATTAGCTATTCTGAATGCTTTATCCTGTGTAAGGTGAGCGCTGGGAGCTCAACTGTTTTATTGCTGCTGAAACTCAAACAGCTAAATTAACAGCCTGTAATTCACACCTACATTATTTATGGCTTCCCTGGGCTTTAATTTGCTTGTGAAGTCCCACCTGTTGTGTCTGATTCAGAAGTTCTCAGGGAGGAGAAAATGAAGTTTAAACTCTTCTGAAATTCATTGCAAAAATTATCTTGCAGAAAAGACACCAAAGCCCATGACAAAACAACATTCAAGTCATTATTTAAAGTTCTGTCTCATAATACAGATGCAAATCTTAATTTCCTTTAGGAGAGTGTAAGCTACAGCTTCAGTGATGTTTTAAAATGAGTTAGCATAAACTTTTCAAAGAGTTCAAGTTCCAAAAGCTAAGTATATTGCTTTATAACAAAAAGAAAAGCAATGTCTGCCTCTGACAGGTGAAAGGTTACATGTTTGAACCACCTACTTAATTAGTCCAAGTACTAGTCTGTTTTTCCTAATTGTTACTGTCCTAGTTAATCTTTAGGAAATAATTCACTGTTAGCTGTATTTCAGTTTCTGAGAAAACCTTGCTTTTTTGCATCATTTTATATTTGCCTCTATGTTTTCTGTATCTGGTCAAATCTAGTAATATTTTTTCTTCGTCTCAGAAAGTCTTTAGTAAATAATATTTTCTAACAATATGCTCAAGTCATTAAATTAAAAAAGAAAAAAAAAAAAACAACCCTTGTGTGTCTCAGCATTGGAAGGATACTTTCTCCTACTTCTTCCCTCTTTAGTCAATTCTTGATGTACTTATTCTGTGAAGGTTTTGTCTTTTTCTGTGCTCAGTTATTTTTCATCGTCCTGCAAAAGGCTAAAAGGCAATTAGCAGTTAAACATAGATTAGGCTGATATAATCAGCTGCTGGGCTCGTTTTGCAACAGACTGATTCATTATCAGGTTCCATCAGATAATTATCAGTCCACATGAAAAGTCATGTACTCTGTGACACCTACGTGGCTTTCTTTGTGCTGATTCAAGATTCAGCACTTTAAACAACTAGCAGCGTTATGGAACATTGCTTATTAACGCACAACTGATGAATCTTTCTATACAGAAAGTATTTATTTTTGTGCCAGTTGTCCTGGAGTCCTTAGGAATTGTCAGCAGGGACTTCACAATCTGTGGGCCTAGCAGCCCTGTGGAGCGCTGGGGCTCGAGGAGATGGGTCTGAGCATAGGATCACCAGCTTAAAGCCAATGACAAAAAGCTCCTCCAAACAAACAGTAATTTTGTAGTTTGGAAACTACAAAAAACTGACTTCTGATGGTAAGGTGAAATCTACTAGCACAAAAATTGAGTTTTGTGATTTTTTTCTTTTTTCACCAGAAAATTGGATCTTAGGTTTTGAATAATTCATGGAAGGGGAAAAAGATTCATTTACTTTCATATATGCATTTGCATACCTTGTTGATTCATAGTGTTCCAAATTTAAAATGTACAGTAAATACAACAAAACTTCAGCTTATCTTGACGAAGCGAACAAATAATTCTTACTTGAGCTTGTGCATTTTTTGCAGAATTCCAAGCTAGTGATAAAGATGTGTTTTGCATCAGACCAATTATTATGCCATCAATTATTATGCCAATGATTATGCCATCAATTGAGAGTTGCTTTCTAAAAGCTGCCTTTTATATTTTCATTACTTGCTTGTATTCTGAAGTCTGTCACATGATGCTGTAGGGAACACAGGGCACCTCTTTAAGAAAACAGGCCAAATTGGTTCTGCCCAAATAGCAATTACACTTACTGTTTATAAGTAATAAACATTGCAAAGGTTGTGCTGCTTTTCAGTACCTTTGAGTGTATGGCAACCACATAACAATTGTTTCTGAAGGGATTTCAGGACAGTTCCTTGTTATCTGATTGTACAGTCACTGGGTTTTTCTTTCCAATTCAGTTGTTGGTTAGGTATGCCACGTTCAAATCATAGAATGGCCTGGGTTGAAAAGGACCACAATGATCATCTAGTTTCAACCCCCCTTCTATGTGCAGGGTCACCAACCACCAGACCAGGCTGCCAGGAGCTGCTGGTTCTGGAAGTGCTCGTGGCTAATTGAGCAAGTTTGTTAGGTTCTGAAGCAGTTGTGTCTCAGCATGCCTTTTTCTTCTTTATCACACACATGAACAAAGACTTGAAATCTTTTATTTAAAAATGGAAAGAGACAAGCCAACTTTTTGGCTTATTTTGTGTACGTAGACTACGTGCTGTGCTTATGATTTAGTTACAGCGAGCATCAGGTGAGATTTAATTGGTTTCTAATTATTCTTTCTCAGCATAATAAATGCTCTCAAGGTTTTGGGACTGTTAGTAAATGCACTGAAGTTTTTTTGCTTGCTGTGTGAAGCACTGTAACATGATTCTAAGGATAACAGTCTTGATGTATTAAGGCACCTAAGTCATGATTTAGATAAACCCATGTAGTGTACAGTAGAGTTTCTACTCTACTGGTTGTCAGGGATGATATTTATTCTTCATCCTAGAATGAGTCCATAATTGAGCACAGTTGAACATTTAGAGTGTCACTTTTTTTTTTTTTTTTTTTTTGCTTTTATCAGTAGGAGAATCGTGTGTTTCTCTTAACACTTTTGGCAAGGAAAGAATCACAGAATTGCAGGGGTTGGAAGGGAGCTCAAGAGACCATTGAGTCCAACCCCCTGCTAAAGCAGGCTCCCTACAGCCTGTTGCACAGATAGGTGTCCAGATGGGTCTCGAATATCCCCATAGAAGAAGAATCCACCACCTCTCTGGGCAGCCTGTTCCAGTGCTCCGTCAACATTACCATAAAGAAGCTGTTCCACATGTTAGCACAGATCATCCAACGTTCAAGTTTCAGGCCATTACTCCTTGTATTATCGCTACACACTGCCGAGAAGAGCCTCGCCTCACCCATTTGCCTCCCACATCTCTTTACAAATTTGTAAACATTAATCTGATCCTTCCCCCTAAGTCTTCTTTTCCCTGAGCTGAACAGACCCAGAAGTGATCTAGCATTTTGAATAAGTGGCTGTGCAATAACATATGGCATTTAGACTTAGCTGAAATAGGCAGTATGTCAGGGGACTCTAGGAGAGTCTGGTTGTTTGTAGAGACGTATCTTGCTGCCTAGCCTGGTCTTTAGTGTTACACTTTCTCTTTCTGAGAAGTTTGGGGTCTTTTTCTTCCATCTAATTCTTTATCCCTTCCAATATTAGAAACTCATCTTAGTTTTGCATACTGATGTGCATTTCTCAGTAATCAATACATGGAAAACGGCGAATTTCTTATTAAATGTGTTGTGTTCATCTGTGACTTAACTAGCTTCCCATCGCTCGAGGATCTCTCTTGCCTTTAAAATAACAAATGCTGGTGTTCTTCGTATCTCATGGCTTCAAGGCTTGATAGGAATGAGAAGTAAGCATGCTTAGTTTTTAAATAAATGTTTAGTTTGGAACAACAACTTCAGTCAGCCATTATTTCAAAGTTCCTATATAATCAGTGTGACAAAAGATAGAAGGTGAAAGTTAAAGGTTACTGCAGCTGTTCCCTAATAGGTGTAGGAGCTCTGGATGATGGAAAATCAGGACTCATGTTATAGTATAGGCTGTTAAATGCTTGGTTTCACCATATGTATGTTGTCCTCATTTCCATTTAAGTTCATCGTATGTAATATCATAATCATTTTGCATTTTGTTCATAACTGCTCCCGTTTCTGAGTATTAGACCCAATAATACTGGGAAGTCTTTATTTCCCAGAATCACAGAATCACAGAATTGTAGGGGTTGGAAGGGACCTCCAGAGATAATTGAGTCCAACCCCCCTGCCAAAGCAGGTTCCCTACAGCAGGTCGCACAGGTAGGCATCCAGGCAGGTCTTGAACATCTCCAGAGAAGGAGACTCCACCACCTCCCTGGGCAGCCTGTTCCAGTGCTCCGTCACCTCACTGTACAGAAGTTCTTGCGCACATTTGTGCGGAACTTCCTATGCTGCAGCTTGTGTCCATTTTCCCTTGTCCTGTCTCCACTCACCATTTCCTACATGAGGGGTTTGTGTACTTTCCTGTCTATGCATTATGTATTAGAATATTTATATATAGAAAGGTAGGGCAACTCTTGGTACGTGTTAGGCTGAATTTTCTGAAGACAGCATATGCTTTCACCTGTTTAGATATAAGGTAAATGAGTTCCTATGTATTTAGAAGCCAAAAATTAGTTGGTTATCAGCAGTGGCATCTGTCATTTCAGTGGTGCTACAGGAGCTAACTAGAGAAATGCATTAAGAAAGTGAGCTGTACCTATACATTCTTAGGTTGTTTCTTATTCAGTAAATGAGAGAAGAATCTTCCTAGTGCCTGTGGCCCTTTGCCACTGGCTGAAAAATGAGCAAATTGACCCATTTTCCAGGTATTAATCTTTCATTAGCAGTCTAGGTAAAACCTGAGGCTCAGATTAGGAAAGAGAAAATGAAGATTGATTTCTGTGACAGGTATGTATTTGTCAGTGTATTTTTATTGAGAAAAGCAAATTGTTATGGCCCAGTTGTTTTCAGTGTATCTGAGCAGCAGGTAGCAATTTTTCTAATTAAATTTAAGCAGAGATGCGTGATGAACTGCTAGGCAATCTTGAATTACTTTGAAAGTTGGAAAGCAATTCAAATCTGATGATAAAATCCTCTCTTGGGTGCAGTTTCCCTTCTGACATTTATGGATAAACTTCCCATTTGCTTTTTTTTCACTCTTTTCACTGTAATTACAGTAATATCAGAGGTTATCTGATAATAAGTTCAAGGTAATGGACGATGTTAAATACACAGTAGAGTTCACTGCAGATTTACAAGCTTAATGTTTTTTTCAAATAACTTGATGCCAATGATTTGAATTAACTATGGAAATGGCTCTTTCAGCAAATCAAAATGGATGGCTTTGGTAAGCTATTGATTATCTGCTAGTGCGTGATAAGTAGTCATAAAAGGAGTTTTAAGTCTTCTGTTACAATTGATTGCCTGTCTTCCAT